ACACATTATTGTAAGCTGGTATTTTTTATGATATTTAGTCTCATAGTTTTGTTGTTGTTTTTATAAATCTGGTTTTTACAGGTATAGATGAATAAAACATCTTGTATCCATACAAAGTGTGTAAACAAGTGGATAACACTAAGATATTGCTTTAAAACTATAGGATAGATACACTTCTCTGATATGGGAATATAAGGACTGCACAGTATTACCGATATACTGATATATCGCAATACGCTTTTCAAACGATACGTATTGCAATATTTTTTCTGAGAACCGGTATAGCAGGCCATTTCTTCCCCGGTCTAAACTTTCCCCGATGAGAATCTGGCATAGGCTAAACTTTCCCCTGGGAGGTTTTGTCCTAGGATATTCTTACCCCGGGGAAAGTTTGGGCTAGGCTAAAGTTTTCCCTCCTAGGCCAAACTTTCCCCCCTGTTTAAACTAGGATATTTTGTTCTGTTTTCTATGAAAAGTGGGAATATTCTGGCCTACCTAGGCCACTTCTTCCCCACCTTTGTTTTTATATCAAAAGGGGGAGATTCTGGCCTACCTAGGCTACTTCTTCCCCACCCTTGTTCTCATATCAAAGGGGGAGATTCTGGCTTAGCTAGGCTACTTCTTCCCCACCCTTGTTCTCATATCAAAGGGGGAGATTCTGGCTTAGCTAGGCTACTTCTTCCCCACCCTTGTTCTCATATCAAAGGGGGAGATTCTGGCTTAGCTAGGCTACTATCACCCTTGTTTCCATATCAAAGGGGAGATTCTGGCTTAGCTAGGCTACTTCTTCCCCACCCTTGTTTCCTTATCAAAAGGGGGAGATTCTGGCTTAGCTAGGCTACTTTTCCCCACCCTTGTTTCCATATCAAAAGGGGGAGATTCTGGCCTAGCTAGGCTACTTCTTCCCCACCCTTGTTTCCATATCAAAAGGGGGAGATTCTGGCCTACCTAGGCTAATTCTTCCCCACCCTTGTTTCCATATCAAAAGGGGGAGATTCTGGCCTAGCTAGGCTACTTCTTCCCCACCTTGCTCTTATAAACCGACAGAAGTCTTGATTTATATTTTGGTACACATTTTTACCAAATAGTCCATTTTTGCCTCTGACTTGGGTGTAGTGGTTTGAATGCATACATGTTTGAACTGCATTTACCTCTAAATCCATCCGGCTCCTGCTCCTGCCTATGAAGACACATTACATTAGTTCTTTATCTGTCCAAATCATGTCACCATAGATGAAAACATTCAATCGCATATTTGATAGGTAAAAAAGATGTAATATACACAGGTTGCTTGCTCTCTTATCATGCTGTTTATTATCTAATATTTGTTTTATTTATGTATAAATGTAATGGAACATTATTCACATAAGCTTGTTTACTAATCCATAATCACTTTTGGTGAATGAAATATGATTCAGATATCCAAGGGCCCAGTATACCCCTTATCAAACCTGGGTATTTAGTTCCGAATATAGTAATGATTTTGAGATAAGCCAATTTGGAGTAAGTGGGGATAAGTAAATTATTGAAATATAAAAATAAGTAAATGATAATACAAAACAATAGTAATGATATAATATCTTTGCTTTTATGCTTGCTTTTCTGTTTCATCTCACCATATATAAGGGTATTGTAACAAAATGTGAACCATGTACATGTCATGTATGAAGATGAAGATTACCTGTAAATTGTTAATGGAACGTGACATCAACATGAATATCTTATCAATGTGTTCACGTAAATAGCAATGTGTTGTTTTTGTTTCTGACTTTTTCAAGACTAACATAAACATGCAAACAAGGTTGGGGAAGAAATAGCCCAGCTTGGCCAGAATCTCCCCTTTTGAAATAAGAACAAGGGTTTGAAACAAGTAGCCTTTAAAGTTGATTCAAGGGTGGGGAAAGTTTGGCCTAGGACAAACTTTCCCGTGGAAGATTAAGCCTGTTTAAATTAACGGGTGTCCAGGGGAAAGTTTGGCCTGTTACACGGTATATTTGGTAAAGAAGATATGTTTTTTTGTGATTATCTTTATGGTTTAAATTAAAATATACACACTTTTCTTCACAACAAATGCTTTCCTTCGTTATTCGATTGCAAAATGGCATACTGTAATGCAATAATTTGTATAAAAAGGAAAATAGAATCCATGACTAATCAACCTAATTTTGAGATTGCTGTTATCAGAACCATAAGATGTATGTTTAGGAACTTATGATGTAGAAAATAGGATTGACATGTACCATTAGTGTCACTTACTGTCAAATACTTTAGTTCCCAATATATTGCAATATGTATCACAATACGGATTCCTGAATCGCAATATATTGCAATACAGTTTATTTGTCAATACACAGCCCTAGTGACTATATGTGGTACTGAATTGACTGTACAATTGAATGAAGTCATCCGACATTTCCTGCTTCCTTCCTGGTAACTCTGTTTCGCATTGTATCTCAGTGGTAATGGAAGCTGTGAAACTGGGGCATTCTGCCTGTAGTCTTGTGTCCAGTGGTGAAACTACGATACACATGTTCACATCATATCACGAGGAAACTTCTTGATTGTATATGTAAATAGAGCAGGTACTAAACGAAATGCTAGTTCTTGGCACATGTTCATAGCGGCCATTTTGGAAGCAGACGTGAAACTCTAATTTCTGGTATTTGACTGACAAAATGCTGGGATATCATGTATTATATCGTTGTTGTTATAAACTAACAATACACTGGTATATCATTTCTCTTCTAATCTCATCCACCAATCTGTTGGTGAGCTGTTGTGTGATTTGTGACCCGTTCATACACAGGAACGTGTGTCAACACTCTAAACCTATAACTACACCCATTTTTAACTGAGAGTATAAAATGTATGACAATATCGTTAATAGTCAATAGACTTTATTACCTGTCAAAAGATAAATATTGTTAATATCTCGTCAAATAAAAAATTAATTGTAAATGTAGATTTACAAGATCCTAGATGAGTATTGTTAGACATTTATTTCCCCGTCCAGAGGTACAGATAAGCTGCGTATCTGTGTGAATTACGCAAATATTTATGTGAAAACTCAATTCCTATTAAGTCTATTGCGTACAAGTACGCTTGAATTTTTGTAAATACTCAATAAATGTGATCTTACATGCGTACACACAAAAATGTCAAATGTTAGTTTGACTAACATTTAAACTTTATTATATTTAAAAAATTAATGGAAAATGGCAAAATACCCAATTGAGTTTGAGTGAGGTGAGTACAATTTATTTGGTTACTCAAAAGAAAAATAGGATACCCAATTGAGATGACTGACTGACTGAGTTTAGTTTTACGCCGCTTTTAGCAATATTCCAGCAATATCACGGCGGGGGACACCAGAAATGGGCTTAACACATTGTGCCCATGTGGGGAATCGAACCCGGGTCTTCGGCGTGACGAGCCAACGCTTTAACCACTTGGCTACCCCACCGCCCCAATTGAGATGAACACAAGCGAGTACATAACTCAATGACCCAAAAAGTTATCTGTAGCTCTGCCCATCAGTTGACAAGGAAATAGATGGACATTTGATAATTTGAACAAAACGGAGTGATAAATATGAAAATAAATCTATCAAAGCCACTGTACCTTTACGTTTGGGAATATCCTGAACCGTGTTCATTTTTAAAACAGACCTCCTTGTTTCATGAAAATCTTTCTTTGTTATATAGCCTTATGTATATAAATGGTGATAACATGTGTGATATGTTTCAGATTTTGCTTGTAGTGTTCAGTATCATGGTTACCATGGAGACCATTATTTATAAACATGAACACTGGTAATGACACAGGGCCAAATGACAAAAGTGATCCTCGTCATGTTCAATTACACTGAATAATGCATTTGCTCTGTGAACATGCTGATCAAGTAAACAAGAACTTTTTTCTGTGTTATTGAGTAAATAGTAGATTTTATCTGTATGATGAATGAATAGATTTAGATTATTTATGATTTATTTATGTATAGAATATATTTTTGCATAAAATATATTGCATATGTTGACATGATCAGTGTGAAATGTGATATGCAGTTATCTGTGAGTATTTCTGCTACCTTTTTGTGTTTGAAAAACAATACCCACTTACCATATATTATGGTTGTCATTTTCTCTTGTTCGTTCAGGATGGTGGGGTAGCCTGTTAAAGCATTAGCTCATCATGCTGAAGACCCAGGTTAATTTCCCCACATGGGTACAATGTCTGAATCCCAATCCTGGGGTCTCCTGCCTTGATATAGCAGGAATATTGCTAAAAGTGGCATAATACCATACTCACTCACTATTCTCTATAAACGTTATATTATTGTTTGTTAAAACTAAATGCACTTACCCTTACAGCCACATTAGTTCTAACTATATTTATATATTTATATAGGGGGCGGTTCCATTTGGGAATTTTTGTTGAAAATTGCTGCAAAATTTGAGCCTGACTATCAGTCCTCTGAGCAAACCTAGATCATAAGCCTGTGCACCATTAATGTACAGTAAACGTATGCAGGAACAGCTAATTTATGTGCTATATAAATACTCTTATTAATTAATTAATTGTGATCAGTGGAGTGATGCCCACGATGTTTTACTCTGATAGAGGCATTAGGTCATTGTATCATAATCCACAGACCTGGGCCCCGTTTCACAAAGCTGTCGTAGGCCTAAGATCTCGTAACTTTTCTCGTAGCATTCGTACTTCCTATGTTACAGTAAAGCAGGTACCAATGCTACGAGTAACGTTACGAGATATTAGGCCTAATGAGAGCTTTGAAACGGGCCCTGGTTCCGATCCACAAAGTGTTCGTAAGTCTATAATTTATCGTAGGCTTACGAATGTCATATCTCTCGGGACCCTGGACTACAGGGAGCTTGTTGAGCATGGTAGAATCTCATAAAAGTATACAAGTGACTATGGAATTTCATTTGAAACCTTAACTAAACGGAATGGGAATTACTTAGTTTGATTTTGTTTTGCAGGAATCAAGTGCCCAGTGTGCTCCAAGTTCATTCCTCCAGATGATATTGAGTGTCATCTTGTCATCTGCCTCACCAAGCCAAGAATAACCTACAATGGTAAGACAACCACTTGTCCTTGACCTCTTTATTGGCATGTTTATCAGAGCCATCTTAGCTCTAAGGTGATCATACAGGGCTCCAGATAAGGGCCGTATCGGTGTATGTACGGATAAAAAATATGCACGAGACGGTAGGAAATAATTTAGAAAACGTAGCAGATATGCACGACAGCAATGGTGTATGGTCTTAAAATCATTTACAGACATATTTATCTGAAAAAGTTTTGTTTTATTGTTTATTGACCTCTTTACACAAGAGTAGCAATGTTGTGGTGCATATATGATATGAAACAAAACACAAGATTGCTGATACTCCATTAAATTCCATTCAGTACTCTAAATGTACACTTTTAGGTTTTCCAGTACTCCTATTTTGAAAAAATAAGGAGTACATACTCCAGGGCCTAGATTTTCGAAGCTCTCTTAACGCTAAGATCGTCGTAAGTTACTGTTAATGTATGCCGTAAGTGCCATACATTAACAGTAACTTACGACGATCTTAGCGCTAAGAGAGCTTTCGAAAATTGAGGCCCTGATGTTGAAAATTTTTCTGGAGCCGTGTCGTAACCCTCCAACTTTAACATAAGCTTACGATCATTATATAGCTACAATCACTCTGTGCAGCCTGGCCCTAGGCACAATTCCACAAAGCAGTTTTACAGCTGCAACTGCCATCAGTGTATGTTAAAGAAAGGGTGTTACGATCACTTTAAAGCTACAATCTGTTGTAAAACTGGTTTAGAGCATGGGAGTTACGGTCTTCCCAGAGCTATGACTGCTTCAAGTGTATGTCAAAGTATGGGAGTTACGATCACCTTGGATCTGCAACTGCTGTGAGTCTCTGTGAAAGTATGTAAGTTACGGTCTTCCTAGAGCTATGACTGCTACAAGTGTATGTCAATGTATGGAGTTACGATCACCTTGGATTTACAACTCTTGTGAATGTCTGTGAAAGTATGTGAGTTACGGTCTTCCTAGTGCTATGACTATTTAAGTGTATGTCAACGTATGGGAGTTACGATCACCTTGGATCTACAACTCTTGTGAATGTCTGTGAAAGTATGTGAGTTACGGTCTTCCTAGAGCTATGACCGCTTCAAGTGTATGTCAAAGTATGGGAGTTCACGATCACCTTGGATCTACAACTCTTGTGAATGTCTGTGGAAGTATGTGAGTTACGGTCTTCCTAGAACTATGACTGCTTCAAGTGTATGTCAAAGTATGGGAGTTACGATCACCTTGGATCTACAACTCTTGTGAATGTCTGTGGAAGTATGTGAGTTACGGTCTTCCTAGAGCTATGACTGCTTCAAGTGTATGTCAAAGTATGGGAGTTACGATCACCTTGGATCTACAACTTTTGTGAATGTCTGTGGAAGTATGTGAGTTACGGTCTTCCTAGAGCTATGACTACTTTAAGTGTATGTCAAAGTATGGGAGTTACGATCCTAGATGCACAACAACAACCACTCCCAATATTTACCTGAGATAGTTGTTTATATACCTGACAAGGTGTGAAATGTGTACTTTCTCCACCTCTCTGTCATCTCAGCACCTGGGTATCCATCTGGTTAATCAAAGATTGAAATTGAGCATAAAAGTCAAGGGTCAAAACCCCAATGTTTAAAGTTGATGATTTTGTGGGTCACCTGATTCAATATCAGCCAGACCCCCAGAACCTCCCTTGATTAAGGCCCCCTTTAAAATACTGTCTGTTTATGCACTTGGGTATAATTTTCCCCACATTCTTCTAATATGTGGAGCATCACATACATACCAATAGAGCCTAGCATTCTTTATTTTTACATGAAGCTGAAATACTGCTGCATGCTGTGTTAAACATCAGACATGATGGCTGTAGTAATGCTGTGCTGTGTAAAGCAACATTGACTCAATATCACCTATTATCATCACGTAGCTAGTGATGGGTGACGCTCATATTGTCATCACTTGGCTAGCGATGGATGACGACACACAAACGCTTCACCTCTGCTTTCCATGTGGGGATTCTTGGCTGGGTTTGGGTTCAAGTACTAATGCTAATACTATTTACGAAAGTCAATTATAAGATCCCAAAACTGGCTAATTGTCACCATACTGCAACAGCATGGATCGGTGGCTATGCAGTCAGACTGCATTACCGGTTTATATCTATAATCCTTGAATATTTGTGTTTGTAGTCATGTTATTTGTCTTGGAGACTTAAATATAAATAATTTATTGAGTTGTAATACTGTTATTTTTAACCCAGGCCCCAATCCACAAAGCATTCGGAGCATACAACCTTTGTAACTATATAGTTTACGAATGTCATAGTGATACCAAGACTTTTTGGATCGAGACACTGATCAGCTTACAGTATATAGATATAGTAATAATAATAATAATAATATTAATAATGTATTTATAAAGCACCTAATATCCACCATAGAGATGCTCAGTGGCGCTGTGACAATATTGGGGAAGGAAATAGTTCATATAACTTTACAGAAAGGCAGCAGTGAATAGATTGGTCTTTAGCAGAGATTTAAAAGTTTCTTTCGATGAAGTGTTCCTGATTTCCTTTGGAAGAGTGTTCCACAGTACCCTGCGGCATCCTTCTGGATCTGTATCCGAATCCACAAAGCGTTTGTAACGTTACGACCTATCGTAACTCTATGCTTAGGAGATAAACATACTGTGTTGGAAAATCAGAGGTATATTATGAAATTATAATAGCTTCTGAATTTGATTTAAACTGAACGTGTAGCTTGAGGATTTAAATAGAAAATTTAGATTATTATAATTTTGTTATGTACCTCTGATTTTCTATCACAGTATGTTCATCTCCATTCTACCATAACCGCGTTATTAAGATTTAAAAAAAATACATACTGTGTTGGAAAATCAGAGGTATATAACGTGATTATATTAACCAATCACAATCCAGTATTTACTGAAGTCATGGTAGATTACGAATGGCATAGTGCTACTAACGCTTTGTGGAGCAGGACCCTAGAATCATTTAGTGTTGCAGACCATGGAAGTAAATGACATTCACTCACTCACACACTGTTGTGTTGCTATGTTACAGAGGATGTGTTGCCAGATGACAAGGGGGGAGTGTGTCATATGTTTTGAAGACCTGCAGAAAGGGGATACCATTGCCAGACTACCATGCTTGTGTATATATCACAAAGCGTAAGTTCTATAAAACAATTTCTGATTCATTTTACGATTCATTTGAAGGATTTTGTGTGCACAGTGTAGCTATGTCAACATAAAGCATGTAGTTCCGTTACAATCATGGTACTGAGGTAGCCTAGTGGTTAGAACATAGTGTCACGGGTTTGATTCCCTACAAATCGGCATTATGGGTGAAGCCCTTTTCATGTGTCGCCAACCACAATATTGCTAGAATAATGCTTAAACTGGTTAAACATCATATGCAAACACTCACTCCGTCACAATAATATTTATGTGAAACATGAATTTGTGAACAGTATGCTTGTCATATTTTACCGTTATGTTCCATTTTATTTTTGCAATGGTTTGGCCAAATGGTAAATATATTTGTTCTTTAGGCTTGAATCCCACGTTTGAATCCCCACATTGTTTCAATACATTAAGCCCATTTCTTGTGGGGGTGTGAGGTAGCCTAGTTGTTACTTAAAGTGTCTGCTGATCACGCCGAAGACATGGGTTCGATTCCTCGCATTGGTACAATGTATGAAACCATTTCTGGTGTCCTTGCCGTGATATTGCTTGAATAGTGCTAAAAGCGGCGTAAACCTAAACTCACTCACTCTTTCTTGTGAACCCCGCCGAAAAGCAGTGGGTAAAACATACTTAATTGCTCACTCAATTACATTTTCTTGTGAACCCTGCTAAAACCTGCATGTAAAACATACTTAATTGCTACCTTAATGAAATATTTTTGGAACGCTGAAAAAGGTGGCATGTAAAACATAATTTATTGCTCATTCTATTATATTGTACCACTTGATTCACCAGTAATTGTGTCATGAAGGGGCATTTAGCCCAGTGGTTTCCGCCGGGTTCGATTCCCCACATGGGTACTGGAAGCCCTTTTCTGAGGTGTTTCCTAGCTGCGATATTGCTGGAATATTGCTAAAACGCGTAAAACCATACTCACTCACTTACTCAATTATGTCATGAACATGTCGGATCTCTGTTACTGGGAGAGACTTTGTCCCCAGATAGAAATTGTGGTCTTGGTCAGTTAAACCTAGAAAAAAAGAGACTAATCCTCCATTTCAAAGAAAAGTCTTAATGGTATGTTACTGATACTTGTTTTTTGGCTTTTCTTAAGAACACATGAATATCAAAACATATCTTTACAAAACAACATTCCATATAAAAGGCCAATACATAGTGCACTTGGTAAGGTCAAGTCTTATCAAAGCAAAACTGGGATTATATTTGGTTGATGCATGTCAGCATGTTCAAATTTGCATATATCGATGCTCATGATGTCAATCACAGGATCGTCTTGTTTAGATTTGATTATTTACAGACCACAGTCATATAGATGTAATATTGCTGAGTGCGGTGTTAAGTAACTAAACACCCGTGAAGGTCCGGGTTAGAATATCGATCTTCAGTAAGCCATGCTTTTCGTAAGAGGTGACTTACGGGATCGGGTGGTCAGGCTTGCTGACTTGGTTGACACATGTCATCGGTTCCCAGTTGCGCAGATCGATGCTCATGCTGTTGATCACTGGATTGTCTGGTCCAGACTCGATTATTTACAGACTGCTGCCATATAGCTGGAATATTGCTGAGTGCGGCGTAAAAAAACTAAACTCACTCAGTAACAAAAAATGCATATGGTCAGTTTTTCATTTTTTGCCTTGATAGGGCAAAAATATTGCTCCCTTTTTTAAAAATGTCATAAGAATTCACTCACTCTTAACAGTGTAAACTGATCAACTGACACAGTTCATTTGCTTTGTAGGTGTATAGACAAATGGTTTGAAGTGAACCGTTCTTGTCCGGAACATCCAGCTGATTAGAGATGCAAGGAGCTTTGATGTGAGGACAGTGTCAGGAGTTCACAGCAGATGCAAAATGGTGGACAAAAAAACCCAATGGTGCATGAATTTTGTGATATCAAACCTTCAATTACCATATTTTGCTTGCACAGAGAAATTGCACAGCTGCCCTTATTGTGGTGGTAGTTGTTAATTGCAGAGCAATTTTGTTTGTGCCAATCTGATAACTTTTCCCTCAGATGACACAAGCAATCAATTCTGGGATCAATAAGCCAGTTTCTATAGATAGTCACAGTTATTTATGGATCGTCAAGACTTGGTTTGGATACATGATTTAGTTAAAGTCTTCAGCCAGCTATCAGTTGACCTCAAGAATAATCAATCAGAATGTGAAACAAATCAATGACTAACTTAGACTGATGGCTGCCAGTTGTCACTAGAAAGGATGACGTCACAAATCATTGCCAATCTCTCTTTGACTCCGACTGTGGCAGCAGAACTGGACTGTATATTCTATTGATTGTCAAGGTGTAACAAGCAGGACTTGATGGAGTTTCCTGTTTTGTCTAATCTCGGATTTGTTTGATCCGTGTTGATTTTGTTGCAATGCTTCAAAAGTGAAAGGGACATTGCCATGAAAACAGTTATTGCTACTTTTATTTGACCTTTTAAAATGTGATCATTTATGATCCATAGGATGGAATGAGAAGTGCATATGCTAGGCTGGTTACCTAGGGAATGCTTTTACACACCAAAATAATTAACTCTTTTAGTACAGATCCCACCTTGAGGGCAAGTGGTACATACATCTGTCATTAAAGGGGTGAGGGCCTGTTTTAGTTAAAAACTGATAATAACTGTGTATATGTGCTAGAGTTTCGTGTGTACAGTGTTTGGTTGGTTAAAGCTTGCATTTAACCCAGTGGATGGCAGTGTGTTCAGTATTTTGACACTATGTTTTTATGAGTGCAGTCTCCATGGAGACGATGACACTGACTTGATGGATATATTCTGTGTGATAAAAGAATTGAAGTGGTTTAACTGGTGTATCACAACACTCCCGCTTGGAAGACACACTCAAGGATGGTATAAATGTGGAATCACGATACTTGACAATGGAGGGATGGAGTGTCTCATCAGTGTTTTATAAAAAAAATTCTCAGAGGTTCTCAAGTTGCCACAAGTCACCTGTTGGTAAAAACAACTTCAGTGGAAGGAGAGTGAAATTGTGATAGGATATATTCATGCCAGTGCCACATCCATATTTGATGAAGTTCGGTGTATTCATTTAAGGATGTTTCTGACGAAATATGCATTCAACTCTTGAAGGCGGGTGTAGTAGTGATTGATGTGGACACTGCACAAGCTGTCCCTTGGGCACTTGCCAAGCTGGACAGTCGTTCACAGTGTGTACAGTACAACCACCGCCATCTCTACTTGTATCAGTCATTTATGTCAATATTAAGCCAGTCTACAAGTGGTGTCAGTTCAACAACAGTCAGCCATCACGAAGCTAAACAGACTGTCAGCCACACCCAGACGTCAACTTTGTACAGATTTGTCAACATTGTACAGATTTGTCAACTTTGTACAGATTTGTCAACATTGCCCGGACATTTCAACATTAAACAGATTCTCAAGGTTACTCCAATGTGTCAACATTAATAGGTTTGTCAACATTACCAAGATTTGTCAACATGATATGGTCTTTTCAACAGTGCCCATATTCTGTCAATAATCAACTGATTTTGTCCACGGAAGGATATTTGTGAGTGTACCCAGATTGTCAACTGCACTGATTTGTCAATTATTCATCGTGGGTAGGGTCAATCCTGTTCTTGTTTCAGCAATGCCTGATCTTGTCAACGGTCAGGTTCTGAAAACAGTGCTCATGTTTGTGAACTACTGGGTCTTGTCAGTGGTGCCAAGGTATGTTGTCAAGGAGATGAGCACTTATCGATGGTGCCAAGAATTGTCAGATGAGACTTGTTAGTGGTGGCCAGGCTCGAAGTGAAGGAGACAAGACTTGTCAGTGGTATCGAGAGTTGTTTTCAGTGGTGCCAAGACCTATTGTCAAAGGTGCCAAAACTGTTGTCAGCTGTGCCCAGGCTTGTTGTAAATGGAGACAACACTTGTCAATGGTCCCAAGACTTGTTGTCATTGGTGCCAAAGCTGTTGTCAGCGGTGCCCAGCCTTGTTGTCAATGGAAACAAGGCTTGTCAATGGTGCCAAGACTCGTTGTCAATGGTGCCCACCCCTGTTTGTCAGTAGTGACAAGACTTGTCAACAGTGTACAGACACTTAGCCAAATGAACCTATTGTGTGATATAAACTTTTTGTAAGATTGTATACATACATGTACAGCATGTTGCTGCCGCCATGGACGTGACCTGATATTATACATATATATGTTGTATCTGTCACTGCTTCTTGTAACCCAATGACTTTTGTGCATGTGGCTAGAATTGGACTCTATGCTCTGTATGTTTGGTCAAGGTTGTCGCATGTGATAGTGATGGAAACATGTAAAGTTAACAAACTATTATGTACTTTCCCCACAATGCAACCTTCATTGCCTATGTTAATTAGACTATGCTGATCTTAATTCAGATTTGTGGGGTAGCCTAGGCGTTAAAGCGTCCGCTCGTCATGCCGAAGACCCGTGTGATTCCCCACATGGGTACAATGTGTGAAGCCCATTTCTGGTGTCCCCCGCCTTGATATTGCTGGAATATTGCTAAAAGCGGCATAAAACCATACTGAGTGACTCACTAATTCAGATTTGTCTGTTTAACATGTTAAAAGGTAAGGACGTGCTTCAGCAGAAACTATAGAGCATTTTTAAATGTAATTGTAACATTATATGTACATCAGGTTTATATTTATTATGGATCTCAAGGTAACTGAACAAACATATTACAAAATTCCCTGTCACAATTCTGAACAATCAAAGTCATATGAATGATCAATATTGGTAAAATCAGCATAAAACCAAATTTCTCACTCACACTTTGTACTATAATGAAGTAACAATCAAACTGAGAATTGTTTAACTCAGTAATATTGTGAACTGGGAGAATTTTTCTAGTCTGAACTTGTTAAAAAGTTGTCAACAATTGTGTAATTTAACTGAAGGTAGTAAAGATTGAAGTTGTTTGTACCCACATTCTATTAGAAGAAATAGAGACATTTTCGACTCCCTCACACAGATTATACAGATCTTTTACCTACTCACAAAATCCTTGGAGTTTAGGAATCCATGTCTGGAGTCTCGAGGTCCAGGCCTGGAGTCTGGGAGTTCAGGCTAAGGAGTGAAGGCAGACCACATTCTTGGGTCTGACTCAAGAAATCTGTGTCCATGTCTTGGAGTTTAAGTCTAGATTATTGGCGTCAAGGCAGTCCAAATTCTAGGACTCTTGATCCAAAGTCTTGGATTTTGGGCTAGGGTCTCAAGGGAGTCCAAAGTCTCTATGCGTCAGAGTTCAAAGTCAAGGATTCTTACCTGACAAGTTCAGAATCCAAGTGTCCGAAGTGTCCAGAGTGAAGGACACTGGAGTCAAGGAGTCCAGTTCTAGAGCCAACCTCCACAAGACTTCCCTGAAGATACTATGTGAAGCAGCAACAATAGCATCATCAACCTGATACTGGTCTCTGGTAGTCCTTGTGCTCCCCAGCCAAGAGGTGGGGCACTGTAGCTCACCTATGTTGAACATGTATGACTGTGTGCATGAGTAAGTGGAGTACATGTTGGCGGTGGACAGATATATCAATCATGAATATGTCATTTTGGCAAAACACAAGTAATTGTTGGGTTTTCGTCACATTCATATCCTGTTTGAAATTTGTTTGGATCATGTTCATACATCAGTAGGATTAAAAAGCTCCCCTTACTCTTCATGGTCAGTTGGTGATATTTGGATTGTATGATTTCTGGAACATGTTATTTGCTCAAAGGCAAAAGTAACTGTGATCATAACAATTTATTGCTGACTATGCAGTATTAGTCCATGTGATGCAGTTTTTGATTGGTCAGTTCTCTGTGACAACCAGAGCTTGATTTAACAATATAACATACATAAATGGAAGCAGATATTGAAAAATGCTGCCTATCTGCAGACATCTCTACATGAAAAGAAATTTGCATCCAAAATATTTTTTAACTTCATCTGTTAGAGACAACAACGTCTGTCAAACACACAAAACTTGACTGGCTGAATTTTTAGGGTTTGGGGTTGTTGTTTTTTGGATCACACTTTAATATTGTTTTTAAATGAAAACTTTTGAAGGTCAGTGGATTCCATCTAAAGCCCAACTGCACATCAATAATCATGAAAGGAAAATTATATTTTTCAGTTATGGGTTATGTAAAGTAGCAACTAAGGGGATCGGGTGGTCAATCTTTCTGACTTGGTTGACACATGTCATCGTATCCCAGTTGCTTAGATCAATGCTCATGTTGTTGATCACTAGATTGTCTGATCCAGATTCAATTATTTTCAGGCCATCGTCATATAGCTGGAATATCACAGTTTGGGTGTTAAACAACAAACAAACAGTTATGGGTTAGAACTTGTCAGAATGTCAGTGTAATAAATAGACAAAATGTGAACACAGCTACTTTTTTTTGTACATTTGACCATGATGGGTATTGGCTGGTTTTAATCCTGTTCACATGTTTGGAGAAGGCTTGCATGGATTCATACACATATTTGATGAAAACTTGATTTTGAAGATGTACTGCTTTGTAATTTCTGGCACATGTATTGTCTGAACACAACTATTCGATTTTCAGATGGGAGTGGTTGAGGGAATGTTAGGAATTGCAGCCAGTTTTTTTTAGGACATTTTACTCATGCCTTGGAAGGGGCAGTGGGGTAGCCTAGTGGTTAAAGCGTTGGCTTGTCACGCCATAGACCCAGGTTCGAATCCCCACATGGGTACAATGTGTGAAGCCCATTTCTGGTGTCCCCTGCCGTGATGTTGCTGGAATATTGCTAAAAGCGGCATAAAACCAAACTCAGTCAGTCATGCCTTGGAAAAAAATGATGGCCCCTTTTGGTCCCAGACTAAAAGTGTTTATTGAATGCAGTATTATTTCTGTTTATTTGAAACATAAGTGAGCACTTGGTTAGTTTGGAATAGATCATTGCGTTTTTAAATATATGTTGATCTGAAAGCAAACTCCGACAGCTCATCTGAAAATGAAATTGTTGCTCCTCATGATTATAGCCATGATCTCATGAAACAAAATCAGGTCTAAGGGTCATTAACAGGTCTGATTGTAAGTCCAGTGGAGGGTAGTGGCATAACTGGAGGAAGGAAAATATAGCATCAAATGTTTTTGTCTTCAATGTAGACTTAAATTAACCTTTGGCGCTTGTCATTTTCATCCAAAACCTGTGTTGATACAAGTGTTATACTAAATATTGCCTTAATTAAACATGTACAAGAGGAAAACAATAGACCAAAATACATACTACACTGCATTGAAGATGCTTATTGTTGTCACAGTGGCAGAAAGGGCTTGAATGTTTTGTTGAAACTGCTCATTGGGCAGAGACTGAATGAGGTAGAATGCATGATGTGATTGTTAGTTGACATATGTTGATGTAATTAACATGTCAATGATGAGGGGGACCTAGTCTGTGATTCATCATAATATATTCATGAATATTCATGAGAAAACAACAAAGTTGTTGATCAGGCAAGAATTTCATTGTCAGGGGAGATAACTCCCTGAGGTATTGTTTCACCTTTCGATTAAGACCCAGTCTGTGTTTATTGCCTGTAGCCTGTATTAAACCATATCTCTCTCAGCACTTTGTTTTCATGTTAGTTGGTTGCCAAATCTTTGTCTTAATATTCAAATATAAAAATGTAAAATCAACTTCCAGATTTGTACTGTAACTAATGAATGAATGTTTAAAATATTTTAACATGGCAAGATGTCGAAATATGGTTGGAATTTTTTATAAGGAGTTTTTTAATTGTGTTACTGTTTATAGAAATCCCTTTTTTATTTCATCCAGTTGTAAAACATGAAGCAAAGATCTTTTGTCAAAAGTCATTCTCTTTTTTGTGTCCGTCTAATAAAGCGCTTCAACAAAAATGAAAGGTCAAAACATTAATTGTCCATTTACCATTGTTTACCTGTGTAGATTCCAAACTCCATTAACCTGTCGGTAATAACTTTCAATTGTGTTTGTTCTTAAGACTCGAGGAAACCCACTGTGATATTGCTAGGATATTGCTCAAAGCAGCGTAAAACTAAACTCACTCACTCTTGGAAACACTCAAACAACCCTGATCCTTTGAGGCAAATTAAAGAGTTCAGAGAGATCCAGGAATGAACTTACTCTCAGTCATCAGTAAATACCCATAATAAGAAAAATCCAGGTTGATGCTCAGGTGACATTTTCACCAAAACTCTGCTATTTCAGGTGGGTTTTTTTAAAATATGTTGAAATTTTGTTCAAACTGAATTTAATTTGAAGGCCTCATCATTTCTGAATTTGCTGATTCCTCGTCTGTCTGAAGAACTTTAACACCAGTAAAATATTATCTGTTCTTACAAAAGAAAAATCAAATGGAGTTATTCTCTTGATCCAAATGATGAATAATTATCGCTATGTCTAAATTATAATTGTTATATTTTGTTTAGGGCTGATATGCCGATATTTGGAAAATAGTTTTAAGTTTTTTATGTGTAAATATCCTTGTCCAAGAGGTCTGTAGTAAATATGAAAGTTTTATGAGTTTTAATATCTTTCGTTTCCATCACCATGGATAACCTGGTTTTAAACCATGTTGTATGAAGTCCAAGATATTTTTATGGATTAAACTTCTTTTTTAATTTCTCACGACGTTTCGAGACCATTCCAGGTCCCTTCATCAGGTGAACTGGCAGTTAGGACTATGACGTCGTCACTATGACGTCATAACTAATTAACTTTTGATGAACTTTAGATAAAAGAAAAAACGAGTCTACTATTCTTTTTGGTAACCTTTGTGTAATTAGCAGTTGTTGTGTATTGACAATTCAACTTTCAACTCTATTATTTAGCATGAATTTTCATCATTATGTAATTAACTCTTCAAACTCACTTATACAGTACTCTCCCTAGTGTACTGTGATGTCACTTGCATTGTGACGTCATAACTTAGTTATGATCATAGTGATGACGTCATAGTCCTAACTGCCAGTTCACCTGATGAAGGGACCTGGAATGGTCTCGAAACGTCATGAGAAATTAAAAAAGAAGTTTAATCCATAAAAATATCTTGGACATCAATGTACAACTTCTAAATGCCACTGAAAGACATCATGTTGTATGAAGTTGGACTTTAAATTCATTTTTAGGATTCCTAGATAAGTACTGTCTGTTGTGTCCCATACATTTTACATCAATTGAAGATTTTATTGAGGTGGTCAGCAGGTAATTTAGCTTTAGTATCATCAATCAAATTCTCAATTTTCTTATCTTCATTGTGCATTGCACATATCAAAGCTGAAGAAACGATTCAATCATGAAGAAGATAAAGACAAAAAAGGATATCAAATATTGTATTATTGTGGCATACTTTTCTATGTCATCAAAAATCACACCTTACGAATTGGTTTAAAAAAACAGGGAAAAGGCTGTTTGACCTTTAATACAAAATGTCTCATGAATGCATTGGAACTGTGTTTTTATCATGTTAATCAAAAAGGTCATTGAAAATTTTCATACACAGGTATGAGAGTCCAGTTTGTCCATTGCCTTCATCTCATGGTCATGTCCCCACGGGCTGTTACCATGTTGTCATGACAACATCAGGCCTGCAGTAAATGCTGTGTTGGACACTATTAACCTATTCATTATGACAAGTATATGGAAGACCATTCAAAGATCCATTGTTCTGTCTATCAACTTGTATTTTAGAAGATGATAAGACTTGGTGTTATTGTTATCAAAGGGAGGTAACTCTGATGTCACTTGAGTTTCTATGCTTATAATGGTCATTGTCTTGATCATAATCATTTGAAAGATATTTTAACCCATCACTGCTTGACTGTAAGATTACGTTTCAGTTTGAATCATATTTGTTGGTGACAAATAAATTCATTTTATCACAACTTCAAAGAATTGTCATAATTTTAGTTCTTTGGTGACATA